CAGGACAACACCAGGGAACCAGAAAGAATCTAGAGGCCACCCTTTGGTGGCCTGCACTCCTGCCCCATGCACGTGGGCTGTGGCTCTCACAGCACTTGGCTCCATCAATCAGTGTGGGCACTGGAGTTTTCAGAGGAGAGAGAGCCATTTGCTGTTTAGAAGTGAACACATTAAAGTCCTAAAACAGCATCCCATTGTATTTTTTTTTCCCTCTCCTTTGCATTTAAGACGAGAGGTAGCCACACATCCTTGGAATTTGTACAAAATTCTGAGCTTTCTGTGTTTTTGTTTTTGCGTGTGGATAAGTATTTTATGAACATTAATAGAAAATGAATAAAGGTAATGAAGGTTCTCACCACTCAGAAAGAGCTGTGTTCCTGTTTCTGGGTTCATGTTGGATCCCACACACACGGGTGTCACTTTGGGAGCTGGGCCGTTGGCTCGTAACAGAAGCCGCTGCTCGTCCTCCAGGGCTGCATGGTCCCCACGTGCTCGGGCCCCAGGCTTGGGCTAAGCCACATCACGTTGTTCACTGACCACGGTGGTGCTGTGAGGACCCTCCCTGGCCTGGGAGCTCTCTTGAACTTTTTTGACTCATTTCTGTAGGGTAGATTTTCAGGAATTGGACTCTGGGCTAATTGGGACATTTTGTGTAATTTCTGAGTTTTCAGTTATACAGTTGCATTTCTCAGCATGTATTTCCATGACATCATGAAAGTACATAATGACCCGTCTTCTTGTTTATCCTCAAGCAATGTGGGTCCAGAAAACACCAGCCGCATCTGCATTGTCATTGAGCCAGCCCAGCTTCTGAAGGGGGACGTCATGGTGAGTGCCCACTTGACTCCAACAGAAAAAATGATTCTGTCTTAAAACGGTAACACCCCACCTCCCCAAAAACCTGTAAGAAGAATGGAAAGTAGACTTTACCTTAAGGCATTTGGTTAATTTTCTGAGTAAAATTATTTTAATTAAATGGACAGAGCAAATCCTTCTCCTTGATTCTCCTTCATTGCAGAGCCACTTGATACATGTAAACTTGGAATTAAAGTTCCAGCTCAGCCACTGCACTTCTGAAGGTCCACATAACCTACCATAATTTTCTTTCTTAATACGATCATAGGCCTCCAAGAGTGTAGGTGTAGAAATAAAATGGGTCCACATTTCCCACCATAATTTTCTTTCTTAATACGATCATAGGCCTCCAAGAGTGTAGGTGTAGAAATAAAATATGTATTTATCATTAGTAGGCAGAGTATGAAACACAACTGGAGTTTGCACTATTTGTCTAATGATCAAAACAGTGATTTCTGCAGGTAATTTTGATTCTTGGGTGTGTTGGTTCTTGGAGGAGTTAGCTGTGACATTTTTGCCTTTTTTCTATCTTGAATACAGAAGAAATCATACATTTAAAATAATTTTAGAAAAGGCTTTATCTGAAATAAAGAAAGCCTTTAAAGCATCTGTATGGCTTCCAACGTGTATAGGGTAACTTACCTGCATCTTTACGTGGCCTTGGAGGATCCCCCTCACTAAGACGGTTAAGATGATTCAGGAGGTAGCATTTCATCTTAGTATAAAAGGCTCATCCAAAGTCTTTGAGGATTCTCATTATGTCCCTTGAAAATCTGAATTTAAGATCCCTTTCTTAGTGGATGGTGGACTCCCCGCTTTGCCCACCCTGAAGTCCAATCAGCGAGGGTCTTGGAGGTGCACACGCTCGCCCCGTCATGGCCCTGTCGGGCCTGCTCTCATTCCTGCCCTGAGGGAGGTGCTCTGCGGCTCAGAGGAGGCCTGGGGGGGCCTTGGGGTGGTGATGAAGACCAGCCAGGACAACAGCCATGTGCTGCACCCCAGCTCTTTGAAGGCATCGTGCCAGGCCCCTCACTAGTGCCAGGCCTTCCATTTCATAGCTGAGAACACCGAGGTCGGGTGGTTCATGCGTTTTCATGGCTTGTTTCCTAAGCCACTCTATTCCACCGCCCCAAGTAAAGGGCGTGGACTGGGAAGCCTGTTGCGGTGGAGCTGCGTGGCCATGGCTCGCGGGTGGTTCATGCGTTTTCATGGCTTGTTTCCTAAGCCACTCTATTCCACTGCCCCAAGTAAAGGGCGTGGACTGGGAAGCCTGTTGCGGTGGAGCTGCGTGGCCATGGCTCGGCTGCACCCTCTGGCTGGGAGCGAGGGGAGAAGTGCTCCACGCCCATGCTCCTTCCCCTCTTCTACCCCAGAGTGCAGCCTGGGCCCTTCTCCCAGCACCTCCTGGGATTGTCGGGAAAAGGGGTCGAGCCTTCACTGAGCATCTGCTGTGTGCCAGCACCAGCCCGGGCTTCACACTGTGGTGGCTTTAACCCACCACCAGCTCTGGAGCTGGGTCAAGTATTGCAGCCTTAAAGAGGAGGCCAAGAGAGGCTGGCAGTGATGTTGGCAGGACCTGCAGCTGGCCAAGCTGTCTCACGGTGTTCCAACTGCCACAGAGCGGGGCTGTGCAGCTGGCATCTCGTCTCCAGGGTGGGTGTTCCTGTCTTCAGTGATCAGCAGTTACGGCCACGTCCCTTTACAATGAGGTGACCAAAAAACTGAGGCAGAGGGTCACTCTCAGTCTGAGTGTGCAGCTCTCTCCCCCCACCCCAAAAGAGCATTGGTTGAGCCTCTCACCTCAGCTGCTTGGGGGCTGGTGGCTGCAGGGTCTTTGTGAGGCCACAGGAGTGGGGGCTGTCCAGAGGCCAGTCCTCTGGGAAGTGCCTGGCTGCCCCTCCTCCCTGCTCCCTCCAACCGCCTTCCTTTCTCCACTCTCTCTCTTCCTCTTCTCCTTCCTCCCTCCTTCCTTCCTTGTCATTATTCATCCACTATTCCTTTTTTGAATGTTTTGCACTTTTTTGAGTCTCTGTGTATGGCCCTAGGCACAGGAAGTAAGGGGGGACAGAGGGACACCTGTGTCCTGGGGGCATCTGGTGGGAACGTGGTTTTTTTTTTGCAGAGGGGACCTACAGAGCTGCAAAGCCCAAGGAGGCCATGTCAGGATGAGGCAGGATGGGGTGGCAAGGATTCAGGTGGAGGTGCCCTGTGGCTTGGGCCTCAGGGTGCAGCTGGAAAGGGCTTCCCAACAGGGCAAACGCCCCAGGCCCCGGGGCTCCATTGGAGGCTGATGCGTTTGTGAAGGCATCTATCCTTGTGGCGACACTCTCCTTGTCTTGGAAATTGCGTAGTGTGCTTTCTTTTAGGAAATGTGGACTGCTCCAACTGCAGGCCATACTTAGGGCTTGTAGGGCTTAGACGAGCTGCGCCATATAACTCTCCCAGGACAGCGCCGGGCACAGGGTGAAGCCACCGTCAGTGGGAGCCCAAGGCATCACCCTGGCCACTGCCACCCCAGACCTGGCTGCACTCATCCTTCAGGGTGGCAACCACTCCACCCTGGGGAAGAGCCCCTGGTGGGCCTCCCTCCTCCCCCGCAAGCTTCTCCCTCCTGTGCCCTGTCCCAGCCCTGTCCTGCCCTGTAGCGGGCACTGCAGCCCAAGGGTGGAGTCTGAGCAAACATCGCCTGTGTCCCAGCTGTGGCCACTGGGACACGGCTTTGAGCGGGCCATTGTGGAATGATTTGGAGGGGGCGTGGGTGGGAGGTGGTGGTTTGGGGGCACTGCAGCCCAAGGGTGGAGTCTGAGCAAACATCGCCTGTGTCCCAGCTGTGGCCACTGGGACATGGCTTTGAGCGGGCCATTGTGGAATGATTTGGAGGGGGCGTGGGTGGGAGGTGGTGGTTTGGCACTTGGGAACTGAGGCAGGTCCAGGAATGGGGTGGGGCAGGCGAGGAGAAGGAGGCGTCCCTGCCCGACATGCTTGGGCCTGGCCTGTTCCTGAACGCCGTCTGCTCCTGGGCGAAGTCCCTGGGCGTTTTGGGAGCTGGTGGAGCTGCGTGTTGCTCAAGCTCAGGAGAGCGATCTTGTGTGTTTGGGTGAAAGAAGATGCCTCCCGGGTGTCCAGAGCCCATGCAGCGGGTGCCTCTCCTCGCCTGGCAGCAGCCTTGCTTATTTCCAGTTACACGTGTAAGTGGCGTGTTAGCCGTCGGCTCTCACTGCAGGCTCTAGCACTTCCTTGGCCCTTTGCTGGCAGGAAATCTGAAACAGCGATCATTTGGACCTTCTCAGAAAATGCTGTTTCCAGCCCACACTTGTGAGTCCACTTAGTGCTGAGAGCAGTGACAGTCCCCAGGGCAAGCTGCAGTGAGGGTCAGGCCACAGGATGACTGTACCATGGCGGGCCACACCTCTCAAGAGGTGCTCAGCCAGGAAGCGTCTCTCAAGCATGTGCTGGGTAAGGCGCCGAGTCAAGGTCAGGATGAAGACTCATGTGAACATGTCCAGGTTGTTTCCATGTGGCATGGACCCCTGTTCTTACAGTACTCAGAGCTCATGAGGTCCAGGGCTGGGGCGTGGCGTCCTTGAGGCTCTGTACACTTTTTCCTACAAACAGTCATCAGAGGAGAGGGGGCACCAGCATCACAGAGGGCAGAGCTCCAGCCCCGGTGAGGAAGCAGCACTGGCTTTGACAACAAGGAGAGGCAGGATGCCGAGTGTTCAGGGAGCAGAAAGTGGCGAGAGGTGGGGGTCAGGCCAGCCCAGGAGTGAGTCAGGGCTGCTCTGGGTGTCCCTCTGCCTGTGGGCCACACACAGGGGTGGCCTGAGGGAGGCACGGGTGCAGGGCCTCACCTGCTGACCGCAGGGCAGAGCAGTCCTGCAGGACCGAGGGGGGCTGACTGCAGGGTCACAAGGGATCCTCGGACCGTGGCTGGTGGGGGCGGCTTTTGGAAGGATACGGCTCTGGAGCCTGAGCTTGAGGCTTGAGCAGACTATCAGGAGGAGACGCTGTGCTGGTGTGGATGCCCACATGGGAGGAGGCACCACCCTTCCTTCTTGGTGGTCTTCCCGACTGTCTTAGTCCATCCAGGCTGCTCTGACAGCATAGACCCGGTGGCTGATAAACAGGGATCTATTGCTCATGGTTCTGGGGGCTGGAAGTCCAAGGTCAAGGCACTGGCAGATTTGGAGTCTGGTGAGGGTGGGTTGCTCATAGACTGTGGCTTCTCGCCGTGTGCCAGGCAGCTCTCTGGGGCCTGTTCTATGAGGGCTCTGATCCCATGCACGAGGGCTCCACCCTCATGACTGCATCACTCCCCAAAGGCCCCACCTCCAAACACCATAACCTCGGGGGCGAGGATTCAGCACATGGATGTGAGGGACACAAACATAAGACCACGGTGCAGCCCGCTCCCCCGCAGCCTGCCCCGGCTCCCACACCGCCCCTCAGATCCTCCCGGGTCCTCCCTTGCCACGCGCTGGTTCCTCTGCTCAGCCTGCGCCAGGCTCTTCACCCTCGGCCACTGCCTGCTCTCCCTCCCTCTTTCTTATCCTGGTTTTAGGGCGGGGTGGTTTGTGCTCAGCTGTGCCTTGCTTGATGTGGCTCCCTGATGGCGCCTCTCCCTCCAGTCCACAGGTGACCACGTGCGGCAGCGTCCTGGAGACCTTGTCCTCCCGCCTGTCTGTGTGTGCGTGTCTGGGCCCTGTTCTCTCTGGTGGTGCCTTCTCTTCCTTGGCTTCTGACCTGAAGCCCTTCGGGAGCCTCCCGGGCAGCCTTGCCGGTGGCCCCTCCTGCTCCTCCCGGCCCCTCACTGGCTCCCACTGCCTCTACTTGATTCTGATTCTGACCACGTGTCCCCCAGCCCACTAATGTCCCCCAGCTGGCTCGGGCTTCCCTTGGTCAATCCCATCTTTCTGTCCCTAAGTCCTGCAGTTTCCTAGGACTCCCGTCCACTGGTCCCCAAACTCGAGCTT